CACACAAATCTCATGCCCAGCGATTCTAGGCCTAGCCGCACGCCATTACGAACTGCGAATTTCTGATTATTCTTATTTCATTTGCTTCTCTTTGCTATCTGTGTATGCGTGTTCTTTTTTCAGCCTGCGCGAAAAAGTCGCTGTTTGGCTGCGGCTTCAGAAAGACTCTGGCATTCGTACGTGCTGTGAAATTACCCTGCACGTTTAAGTTAAGCACATCTGTAAGCCCCCTACGTCCCATCTGCAGCCTGCCCCCTTCCCCCCCTACTCCAACCCCCTACCCCATCACCCTCAACACGACCCCTTCCCACAATTTACTCCACCCACACCACTCGCACCTAACCCCTCCCCCCTCCTCTCACACCCCTTCACTCCAAACTACCAACCTGAAGTTATCATAACTATAATAACTTCAACTTCCCCATCATAAGTTATCATAATTATGATAACTTTAACTTCCCGATCAAAATTATCATAACTATGAAAAACTTTAAGTTCTTAATCTCAGGGTATGATGATTATGATAAGCAACTTTTCATAATTATCATAAGTTATCATAATTATGATAAGTTATCATAAGTCATCATAATTACGATAAGGTATCATAATTATGATAAATTGTGATAGTTATCACAAGTTATCCTCCTCGCCCTTTCCAGTTAAAAGTGCTTACGGCTTAAAGACCTTAGTACATAAAACTGTACTAAAGCGCAAAGAGAACAATGCTTACGATACAGAGACTTTGGTACACTATGATGCGTCAGGACACAATGAAATTATGCTTGCGATCTATACATTGCGCCCTTTGAGATAGTTGAGAAAGAAAAAAGTGGCCGCGTGCCAATATTAACTGCTTGTAACGGGGCCGCGGCCTACATACGACATACCCCGCTACAGGGGGTATGTATTCATGGTCGGGGTTTTGCGACAGACCTGTTTGTTGTTGTCTGCAGGTTCCAAGTCTTGCTTATCGGGGGGTAAGTGTTCGTAAGTTTCAAGGAGCAAATATAAGTATCCCTGAATTTGAAACCCCCTTAAACTCTTACAGGCTGAGAACGCGGAGTGGTTCCAAGTCTTGCTTATCGGGGGGTAAGTGTTCGTAAATTCACCAAAAACATGACAATTTTCCCGCGGAATATGTGTCAGTGGAGCCGCGCTAACACAAAAAAGCATGACACATTTTTCGCGGAATATGTCTCACCAGAGTTCTGTTAGCACCAGAAACATGACACTTTTTTTCCGCAGAAAACGTGTCATTAGAGCTGTGCTAACACAAAAAACATGACACATTTTCCGCGGAATATGTGTCAGTAGAGCCGTGCTAACACAAAAAAGCATGACACATTTTCCGCGGAATATCTGTCACCAGAGTTCTGCTAGCACCAAGGACCAAAAACATAACATTTCTTTCGCAGAATATGTGTCAGTAGAGCTCTGCTAACACAAAAAACATGACGCATTTTTCGTGGAATATGGGTCAGTAGAGCCGTGCTAACACAAAAAAGCATGACACATTTTTCGCGGAATATGTCTCACCAGAGTTCTCTTAGCACCAGAAACATGACATTTTTTCCGCAGGAAATGCGTCATTAGAGCTGTGCTAATCCAAAAAACATGACACATTTTCCGCGGAATATGTGTCAGTAGAGCCGCGCTAACACAAAAAAACATGACACATGTTCCGCAGAGTATGTGTCACCAGAGTTCTGCTAGCACCAAAAACATGACAGTTTTTCCGCAGAATATGTGTCAGTAGAGCTGTGCTAACACAAAAAACATGACACGTTTTCCGCGGAACATGTGTCAGTAGAGCCGTGCTAACACAAAAAAGCATGACACATTTTTCGCGGAATATGTGTCACCAGAGTTCTCTTAGCACCAGAAACATGACATTTTTCCCGCAGAATATGTGTCAGTAGAGCTGCGCTAACACAGAACTCTGGTGAGACATATTCCGCGAAAAATGTGTCATGCTTTTTTGTGTTAGCGCGGCTCTACTGACACATATTCCGCGGAAAACGTGTCATGTTTTTTGTGTTAGCAGAGCTCTACTGACACATATTCTGCGGACAAAAATGTCATGGTTTTGGCGCTAACAGAATTCTGGCGACACATATTCAACATATTCCGCGAAAAATGTGTCACCAGCATTTTAAACATCCGGAAACTCCACCCCTCCACCCCCCTCCACCCCCCTCCACCCCCCCTCCACCCACCACCCCTCCACGCCTCCACTCCTCCAACCCCACCCCTCCACCCCTCCCCACTCCCCACCTCCCCCCACCCCCCCACCCCCCCACGCATGCGCGGGACACCACAACGAAGAGGGTGTTAACACCACCAAGAAGCAGGATGTCACAACTCCTGGTGGTTTGAAGGCAATCCACAAACCGTGATATCGCAACCGCTTATTAAGGTTACAAATTACCAAAATTCCAAACCAGAGTTGGGGCCCTAACAGAACACCAAACAATCTTGAACACACATTCAGTTGCGATAT